AAAAGAATATAAGTCATTCTACCACAAAGGCACATGCATGCATATGTTAGTCACAGCCCTATTCATAATAGCAAAGACATGGAATCAACCTAGATATTCATCAACAGTGGACTGGGTGAAGAAAATTTGATAAATATACACTATGGAATAGTATGTGGCTGTAAAAACAAGAATGAAATCATGTCCTTTGCAGCAACATGGATGCAAATGGAGGCCATAATTTTAAGCAAACTAACGTAGAAACAAAAAATCAAATACCTTACATTCTCACTTATAAGTAGGAGCTAAACGCTGAGTACACATAGACACAAAGAAAAGAATAATAGACAGCAGGACCTACTTAAGGTTGCAGGGTAGAAGGAGGGCAAGGAACAAAAACCTACCTATTGAGTATTATGCTCACTACCTGGGTAATGAAATAATCTGTACACCAAACCCTAGCAACATACAGTTTACCCATGTAACAAAACTGCACATATACCCCCTGAGCCTAAAATAAAAGTTGAAAGGAAAAAAGTGTAATTCTCATAACACAAAAAAATAATTAAATAAATAAAGGACACTAGGGAGACAGGTGATTTCCAGTTGGCTAAGGCTCTGAGCATTGCTCCACATTCCATCCTACCTGGACTAAAAGTTAGAAAGTCATAATTTAGGGTCAAAAAACAGAAAGAGTTGGAAAAGCAACGGACCTCCTTTTCTACTAAAGTGGCTCAAAATTGTTGGAAGAAGTTGAATCAAAATTGATATAAATATTATAAAAAAACTTTAACAGAAAAAAAAAGTCACACAATAAACCTTGAATGAAGAGTTAATGAACGGATAAAGTGTTCAGAATGGCTAGACCATAATGACATGAGCATGAAAATGAGAAAAAACAAAAAGTAGATCGCTTTCTGGATCTCTTCCAGAAAGTGAAAAACACACTTTTCTAAATCCGTGACAAATATCTGGGTCCTTCAAGGAATCAAATATTTTAAAATATTCTACAGGACACAAGACTATAGCTCTTCTTAAGTGAAACACTTGAGCAAGGTAGCTCTTGAAGTATCTGGGTTGACTGAACATTGATAAACACAGTACCTTGATTGTAATCACTGGGCTGCAGTGATTTATAAAAAATAATTCCAAAAATTGATTTTGGACACATTACAAAGCTCAAGAGCAGGACTTCAGCATGTTTCTCATTCTGCCAGAAATCCCCAGCAGAACTGAGAATAATGCTGAGCTGTATTAAAATGGTAGCATAAATATTACTTTGATTAAAATTTAAACAAATTGTAATGAACAGATACAATGGCTCTTTTAGACTTTATATTGACCACATTTAAAGATCAAACGGCCCAACAGGAGTACATGACTTTCAAGCATTCTCAAAATTAGTATTTTGACTACGATCTTTTGAACTAATATTTATAGAATATTTATGTAACTGGGGCAACTTAATATTCTAAACAATGACAATTCTTCAAAGCATTGCTCTAAAAGGAGGAATTTATAGTACATACACTATTAGCATTTCATGACTGACTCATACAGGATAAATTTTGACGTAAAAATCTGATGATCACTAAAGAGAGGCCTTCGATATGATTATTACAATAACTCATTAATAAGTCTATGAAGGGCATAACAAAACTCCAGGCACATACCACTTTCTAATGATTATGGTCAGAAGCAGTATTAATTACCTTTTAAAGCACAGAAATACAACTGGTAGACCAAAATAGAAGACTATCCCCTGCTTGCTAGCCCAGTGCCCATCACCTCTATATTACCTAGAATCACATCCACTTTGGGGTCTATTGGGAATAGAAAACACAGGTATGTATCCTGATTCAGAATAAACGAAGCTCTTTGATGTTACATTGTAATGGCTTTTCCAAAAGATATTCCAAACATCTTTTGCTTATTACAGATGCTCTGATATGCTGCCCAGCCACTGAGAGGGCTGCCAGACAGTTCTCAGATAACAGCTCCCATTGGAACCTCTGGCTGAAGAGAACCACTTTGCCCAAGTTTACTGCCTTTTCCTAGGACAGTCAGCACACAGTGACTGAGTGCTGTGTGCATATAAAGGCCCCGACTGTTAAGTCCATCTATAAATGCTCGTTCTGGCTTCAGAATGTCTGAGGCATCTCTGAAGACGACTGAATCCCAGCTTAACTTCTCCTACTGTCCAACTTTCTTCTGTGGTACCTACCCCAACAGGTGTTGACCCAAAGAGCACTCCCTAATAAATCTTTGGCATGTTAGTCACAGCATAGTCTGCTCCCCAGAGAACTCAAAATGTAACAATTAGTAATCAAAGAACCAAACATGTAGCAATTACTAATCAAAGTTCTCCTTGAACAACTGTCTTTATGGAGAACTAGGGGCCATGGTAATAGGACTAAAGCTCTGGATCCTGGAACCATGCAAAGTGCAGGATTGACCCAGAATGACCTTAAATTCTCACTGCCTAAAGATTGAGCTGTCTGGGATGGGCCCAACCACCTTGTCCCTGCAGGAGGTATTGTATTACCTATTTGGTGGTAGAGATAGGGGAGGGTAGGGAAGGCGGGAGTGTTTCGTACCCCAAGGCCCAAAATTCTCCAGATGTTGAGAAGCAGGTAATCCTAAACAAATGCTATAAACAAACAGCTGAAATCCCAAACCAGATGGCCTAGCACCAAATTGGACTGCTTAATTCCCCTGACAAGGCCACGTTCTCACACCTACCCTAGAAAAGGCAGGACAGCAGAGAGAGCAAGTTCTCTGCACTGGAACACAGGATCTCCCTCACAACCTCCCACATGTCCAAAGGATGCCTGGCTTCTTCAGGTCTCTCTGAGGGCGTATGGGAGGAAGGAAGCACGTGGCTTTTCTTCTCTCATTGATGCTGGCTGCATGTGGCTTTTCCTTTCCCTATTAAAGTCTGCCAGTAGTGTTGGAATTTATCTTGAATTTTTGTGGCTAATAAATGGACACCTGTATAGGGCCCTCCTTGCACAATACTGCTGACCACAAAGGAATGAACTCTGCTTAGTACCACTCATGGCTTTTCCAAGACATCAGAGAGGTTAATGGCTACCTGAAAAAAGTTGCTAGGAGAGCCATTAGTAGATTGACCAGGGCATCTGAATATCCCAGAACCAGAGAGCAGATAGCCTGAAGTGAGACGTTTTAAGTAACTGAGCAGAGTTGACCATCCACTGTGAGCAAGAGCAGAATTGTCTTCAGTGACCCTGAGTGCTTCTTCAGCATGGCCAAGTCAACAAGCTAAAAGCATGGGGTGGTGGAGCCCCTATCCTTGATGAAGGAACCGTACCCCAGCTCAGCTTCCCAGGGACCACGGGCTTCCTCCCCATGACAGGAGGGCTATTCCTTAACTAAAGTTGTAGGACATTATGAAATTCATCTTGGACCCTGGCGTATGACAACTGGAGGCCCAAATGGGACCCAAGTTGCACCTCCGAAGGTCCTGTAGTATTTTCCACAAGAATAGCTTTGATTTATGTACAGCATTACCTTTTAAAACACATTCACATGGATTAATTCAGTAAGACCTCAGTAGGTTCACATCAACCTACTGAACCTTTCAAGGGATGTATTAAGTAATCCATACATTTTCAGGAAGAAAAATTGGAACATAGGGTTGGATAAAGGATATTTTCCTTACTGATTTAAGAAAAAATTTTTATAAAAGGCTAGAACTTGAATCACAGCTACTTGCACATGTAATAAATTATCTTTTTAAAAAAAGATAAGATTACATGCAGCTTGTACAGAAATTCCTGGAAATATGGTCAGCATAATTTAAGCACATGATCTAAGCCCTGAAGCTTACTTTAAAACTTCCTTTGATAAATGCTCTAAAGAGAGAGAGATCAGATGTTCAGAGGCTTAGGTGAGAGGAGGTTGGAGAAAAGGAGTTAGAGCTAAGAGGAAGTGACTGATGGAAAAGAACACAGAAGTCTATGATTAGGCAAGGCAGGATGCTCCATGTAGTCTGTATATTCAAAAGTAATTTTACAAATGTCCCCCAAATGCACTGTATGATGTGGCCACCCAGGACAATTTGACATCCTTGGAGCAATGTGGACTTGCTGTTTCTCTTCTGAAATGCCTGCCCTATTTCTGCTCCTCTGGGAAATAGGATACGTTTCAATAAAATAAGATCTATTCAATACATACGTGCTTATCAGAGGCCCACTGGGTGCCAGATATTTGCCTATAACTGCCATCTACGGAGGGAGAGTCACTCCATTGAGTTAATCTGCCTATGAAATTAAGAAGGGACATGAGTTTTATCTATGCTGATTCGAAATGTCTCCAAACCATGCCCTTAATTTGGTATAGTAATAGTAATTTGTAATAATGTGTCACCAGAAAGCTAAGCAGCATTGCCTTTCTGAGTTACTTCTCATAGAATCCCAGATCCTTAGAAAGTAGAAAGAACCCTAGAGACTAACCATTCTACCCTCCATGTAGCCCCAAAACCTCTTCTCCAAAATCCTGATAGCTGGTCATACAAACAGGAGGGGGTTTCATCTGCTTCCTTTGTTTGCACCGACATGATCCACTTAAGTGCAAGCTTGGTATCACATTACTCTCTTGGAAGTGGTGATCTGCAGGGTGCACTTCTGGGGCACAAAAATGCTTCTAAAAGCCCCATGTCTCCCCTGTGTATGACATGCTCATAAAGCAGATGTTTCCTAGTTTTAATTTTTGTGAACTCTCTGATGGATTAAGCCAAACATCTTGCAGCTTTATTCATTATTGCTACAGTGGATAATTTGTGCCTGGGGTAACAGTAATTTGGAGTTATTAATGAAAATGAAAGATAATTTTTAAAAGTATCTAAAACTCTGGCTGACACAAAAACATGGAGTACTCACATGAATTTAATCCAAGTTTCCTTTTTCCACTCCAAAGGATAAATATTACTTTGGTTGCAATAATTTTTAAAAAAGGATGTTGTCACACATGGTCTTGTATTGTGCATTCATTGAACATACCTGCAACCCTTCAATGGCCAGTTTAAGGATTGAAGGTGTCAGTTTGGAGGCTTGTTTGAAGGAAAAATTACTCCAGTCTATAATTAAAATGAAGCCATTTATCTGAAGCTCCGGATCTTCGATTAGAACTTCCAACGACAGCAAGATGGCACGAAGGATGTCTGTGAAGGAGTTCCTGCAGCCAGAGCAGAAAGGAGAGCTGTGTGTGAATATAAGCAGGTGATAGCACATTGCGTGCTACAGTACTGGCCTCCGCATGCCACTGCTCCATGAGCCCAGTCTGCAGGGTCACATTGGCATCCTGTACCCAAAGGTACTGAAAATACATTTGCTAAACTTCACAGCAATAATGCTTCAAGACTTGCAGGTTGGACACCTCCCTCGGATCTGCACCCCAAACTTAATGAGATGACCCTCCTCTGTGTTCCTGTGGCTTTCCGTACTCTGGTTCCTCCACAGCCCCAGTTGCATTTTGTTGAAATACATCCCTTACCCATCTCTCTCCCTCACAGAGCTCTGATGTCCTTGAGGGTAGGCATTGGGCCATAATCATAGTTGTTTCCCCAGTACCATGAATCATTGCTGAACAAATGAGGTGAGACCTCAATCAGAGGTGTTTATTTTGGTGAAACCTCTTTTATTTCCTCTGTATTTAAAAAATCCTGTTAAGGGTGTAAAAATATTCATGCCATTGATGCTATTTTTTAGCTTCAATTCTTGGGTAGAGAAAAATAAAACAGGAAGAATAGCTTATTTTCAGTGAAGGTCTATAGAGTGTGATTTGGGAGGGAATTTGCTTTGAGTACATCAGTAACTATGGCAACAGGCAGACCGGAATACTAACTAGAGTGACAGCTCTCCAGTGCTGTGTGTATTCCTCCACATCACATATGCCCATTCACCAGGTGATTTTTGTTTTAAATAATTTTCAGACATGAAGAAGTGATGGCAAATTCACTCTGTTTCTCTCAGTAAATTAACTGAGCTATAAATCTAAGATCTTAGAGGATCTCTAGATTCAGTGTTTTTCTTTGGTGAGCAGGAAAATATGAGCTTGGATGGCAAGTGATGGCAAAATCTGCTACTCCCTTCAAGTGTTCCTTAAAATCCGAAGCCAAGTCCTCTTGTGAAATTAGTGTGAAACAATCAGATTCTTGAACATTCCAATCTGGTTCAAATGCCAGTAACTCCAGATTAGAAATCAGGAAATCTGTGATATAAATGTAAGCCAGGGCCGGGCGCGGTGGCTCACGCCTGTAATCCCAGCACTTTGGGAGGCCAAGGCGGGTGGATCACCTGAGGTCAGGAGATTGAGACCAGCCTGGCCAACAAGGTGAATCCCCGTCTCTACTAAACACACAAAAATTAGCTGGGCATGGTGGCAGGTGCCTGTAATCCCAGCTACTCGGGAGGCTGAGGCAGGAGAATCGCTTGAACCCAGGAGGTGAAGGTTGCAGTGAGCTGAGATCATGCCATTGCACTCCAGTATGGGAGTTGCAGCGAGACTCTGTCTCAAAAAAAAAAAAGTATGCCAGTAAGAATATATTGAATGCCTGGTATACACTCAGTGTTATGCCTCATGCTTAAAGTTATAAATTAGAACATCCTATTTCTACTTTCAAAGAACTCTTAATTTAGTTGGGATGGGGTGGTAGATTAGCAATATGAAAAGAATAAATACAATTTGAGTAGTCAGGGAAGAGTTTATGGAGGGATGAAGGCTTGAGATAATCTTGAAGAATGGATAGGAATTTTATGGATAATTGGGAAAAGGGGGAGCAAAACTTTTTCAGGAGAGAGAAGTGACACAGATGAAAAATAAAGATATTAGCCCACTCTGTTTCTGTATAGTTCTTCTCACTATAAATCATTTCCTTATATTAAGCCACAATTTTCCTCCTTCAGTCCACCCAGTGGGGGTAGTTCTGCCATACAGAAAAAACCCTCAAGTCTCCCCACACCACACACTTTCAACTATCTAAGCATGGTGGTCATGATAGCCTACATAATCTCTAGACTAAAAAAAAAGTTGTAATTTTAACCATTTCTCATAGAAAATCATTCTTAATACTCTTTTTGTCATTATGGTTTCCTTTCAGATATATTCCCTTTTCATTTCTAGAGATGTGCCATTCCTGTTGTTGTGGAACAGGTTTTCACTGGGACTTTGTATGCTTTTGTTTTTCCTTTCACATCAAAACAATTATTCAAAGATCCAAGTCTTTTTCAGAGATACAGCTTTGTATTGGAAGCAAACATTGATTTAAGAGGATCAAGGGAGCAAAGATTATGAGTTTAGGCAATTCCAAATGGAAATGCCCAATTGGTAAACTGGAAATGAGCATTAGGGCATCAGGGAGTCTGAGCCTACATAAGCTTTCTTAGGAAGAGCATAAACACAGAGAAAGTCAGGATGGAAAGGTTAAGCCTAAGGTAAAGCCTACATACAGTATTGCAGTTGAAGGTAGAAGAATTAAATAATAAAAGGGGAGAGGATCAAGGGTGTGTTAAAAAAGAAAAAGAAGAAGAGAATGTTTCAAGAAGCAAGGGTATGATAGATTGCGTTACTGTGTTACTGATACCAATTCTTCACTTATCCCTGCATCCACACACTAGCTATGGCCTCATTGAGGATACAGTGTATTTTTTATCTCTTGTTCATGTGATTTGATTTGACAGTAAACATTATTAGTAACTTTAACCACTGGCACCATGACAGGATGCCAATTCCAAGTCTAGCTCTTAAGAGACTTCAGATGTTACCACTTTTCTCTTGCCCTTCTGCCATTGCCACAGTAAAAAATATGCCATAGCCAGCATGCTGAACTGTGAACAAGGGTGAAACACACACAGACCAGTGACTCCCCAGCCAACCAGCAGGTTTTCATTAGAAGTAGTGCCACCTAGGTGAACCCAGCCTAGATAAACTGCAGCTACCCACAGGTGCATAAACAGCAATAAATGATTGCTTTCTTAAGCCACAGAGTTTTGAGATGGTTTGTTACATAGCAATAGCTATCCAATAGCAAAAGGTAGTTAACAAAGTCAAATGGAAAGGAAAGATCAAGGAGAATAGAAAGGAGACAGGACCATTGCATTTGACAACAAGTTCTCTTTGGGGGCTTGTGGGAGAGCACTTTTAGTTGAATAGTGAAGATAGAATTAATTAATTTTGAAGATCTTAAGCAAATTACTTAATCTCTATTTCATTTTATTCCTTTAACTACAAGCTGGCACATCTTTTCATCACATATCCACACTTATCCACTCCAAGAGAAAAACTGAGCTCCACCTGGAAACCATTCTATGCATTTTGGAGACCAGAACCTTATTGCAGGACAGGCACTGGCAGTGAAGGAAATGTTATATTCCTGGGATGATCCCAGGAGAAAAGTAAAAGGATTATGGACTTCATTACAGTTGCCGAATGTTTGAATGCTTTACTTTTCCAGAGAAACTGGGCAGGCAGGAAAGAGTTGCATGGACTGTGTCTCAAGTCATGAAGCTTCGCCAGCGTGGAGGAGTGTGAGCCTACCTCTTAATTTAGCTGCAGTGATTACCTTGATTTTCTTAGTTCTTGGCTTCCTTGTATGAATTTCCTTATTGTTTTCCTCTTCACTTTTTACAGCATCCTCTGACTTCTGGAATCCTAGCTTTTTAAATTTTAAAATGGCTATCACACCAAATAATTTATGTAAATACTCCACCCTCAAACACGTGGAGCATAACTCCCCCTCCATAAGTGAGCTGAGCATCGTGGCTTCCTTCAAAGGGTACAATATAGAAAGAGGAAGAAAGGTTACTGTACAGTGGAGAAACTGTGATCCAGTTCAACCTAGCCAGGGATACATCATGTTGACTGAATTTATTCTTCCTAAGGTGATGAAAATGGCACTTGACCTCTATGATCTTCCTCCCAAATAAATATAACCCAAGAGTAATCATGAGAAAAACATTAGACAAATTCCAATTGAGGGGCATTCTACAAAATACCTGACTGGTACTGCTCAAAATGGTCAAGTTTATCAAAAAACAATGAAAGTTTTAGAAACTGTCACAGCCAAGAGGAACCTAAAGAAACATAAAGATTAAAGGTAATGTAGGATCTTGGGTGGGATCCTGGGACAGAAAAAGGACATTAGGTAAAAACTTAATCCAAATAAAGTATGGACATTAATGAATAATGTATTAATAACGGTTCATTAGTCATAACAGTAACACTGTCCTAATGTAAGGTGAAAATAATAGAGGAAATTAGAAGGCAGGACATAGGGGAAGTCTCTGTACTGTCTTCACAGTAATTGTGTAAATCCAAAATTGTAAATAATGTTTATTTTTTAAAAATAAATGCCATCTAGAGTTTATAATCTACCATAATAAATCTTCATAAATATTCTAACAAGAATTCTAAGCAAACCAAAATGGACATAAGCAGTTCAGCTACTTTATGCAAATGGCAGAAATGAGAACAGAAGACATTTCTAGAGTTTCTTCATTCTACCAAATCATTTACATTTATATATGGTTTAACTCCAAAAACTCAGGGGAAAAATTTTTTTGATTTACTTTATTGTCTGCAATCACAATTCTATCAGAGTATTTTAGCACTTGTATCAAAATGAACTAACATGACAAATGGATATTTACATTTCTCCCACCCTTTTTTATAATTTGCATAGCATTTATACAGTCAGTTATGGATATTAGTTTTGAATTAATTATAAGTTCAAATGTGATAATGTATGTGAGAGGACTGTGTGAACTGCAAATTGCCAGTGAAATGTAAAGAACTCTACTAGCAGAAAATAGGAAACTTAAACTTTTTCCCCATAAAGGATTTTATACAAATTAGGACTTAGTAAATGTTTATCTACAGGGATTTCATCATTATACTGTGAGCAGTTAGAGATTATGAATAGTGAGTCATTTTTAGGTTCTACTGCTGTACATATGAGTTAAGCACCTGAGGCTTTAAAACCAGCCATCCCATTACTGGGTATATACCCAAAGGATTATAAATCATGCTGCTATAAAGACACATGCACACGTATGTTTATTGCGGCACTATTCACAATAGCAAAGACTTGGAATCAACCCAAATGTCCATCAGTGACAGACTGGATTAAGAAAATGTGGTACATATACACCATGGAATACTATGCAGCCATAAAAAAG